ACAAAAGTTTTTGGGATAAGAATGCGTAAAAAATGGCGAGACAACGATGAATTTTTTGTATCTTAGGACCTCATCATATAAAGCTTTTATAAATAGAGTTCATGACATTGTTCGTGGAGATATAAACATGTGTGACTACCGATTTGATGATGAATCTATTACTGCACAGTGATCTGACGATGACACTGTGTTGTCTCTTAGGATGTTGCTTTTATTTGTGTATGTTTTAGGTAGAGTGATGTAGTGAGAACTTCTATATAAGAAATCATATTTTGTTTTACTACTAAATTGGTGATTTCTTTTGATTTCATATGGTGATATCTTAAAACAATGGTATTGCTAGTTGGTTTGCTGAAACTAAAACTTAGTGGAACAAATTGTTGTGTGTGTTTTTGCTTTGTTGTTAATGTAATCATCGTTTTATAGTTTATTTATTTTTTATATTTTTTGTAACGCTTTAAGTGTAGCCGTGGGCAAACTCCTTAGCCCCGTAGAGGCACTAAAAATGCCTAAATGTGTGTGTGTCGGGCCGGGAACCTGCGCTATTGTACCGCCCATGTTTCTTTCCAATAAAAAATAAAAAATTCCATGACTCGCGGAGAAGTACAGAGAATACAAGGTTTCAAGCGTTCAAATGTCGCGACTCGCAGTACCCGACTTGCGGAGAAGTACAAAGAATTACATGCATTTCAAGCTTGCAAGGGTAGGAACTCGTGGGCAATTTCGCAAGTCGCGACGAAGTTTTGTGAGTCGCGGTTTCTGTCGCGACTCATTGTACCTGAAAGAGCCAAAACACTTCCATTGTCCCAACAAGAACACTTTCTAAAACAAAGTGACTAAAAAAAATATTTTCACTAAAATGACATTCCCATTCTCAACAAAATTCAACCCACAAACAACAACACTATTGAATCAATATGCAAGTTCCCAACATCAACAAATTCCACCCATAAATAACAATATTAAATCATCACAGTAGCAACAAATTGAACCCAGAAATTCAACCCGCAAACATCATTAAAACTCAATCC